TATCTGACAGCTATTAGTTAGTTTGTTTTTGAATTTCGCGCAAAGTTACACGAGGGCTATCTGCGCTAGCCGTCTCTAATTTAGCAGTGTAAGACAAGACGGAAGGCATCACCACCCACCGCCAAAGAATAGTGGGGTTATAACTCCCTCACGGCTGAAAGGGAGATCATGTTTAGTGGGACGAGGATTTGAACCCGCGACCCTCAGATTGAGAGTCGAGAGCCCTAACCACCTGGCCATGCCGGGTCTGACAGTTATTAAGCTCGTTATATAACTCGTCGTTTAAAAACCAGTAAAAAGTGGTAAATTTTATTTGTGTTTTTGTGAAGAGCATGCTTATGATAGTTCTAGGGGTTAAAAATATGATTATTGTCAGGAAGTGCAGGTTACAAATTATTGCTTTTTTTTAAGCATGCCAGTTAGAAATATAAATATGTTATTTTGAAATTACATATTTTTTTATTCAAAGAAATCAAAAGCACTTTGTGAAAGTTACGAAAATAACACACACACACATATAATTAACAGCACGAATCTGAAGTCTGTTCTCTGTGTATCTCTTGCGACTCAGTTTTAGTTGATTATCCAATATGTAAATGACATTAGCAGAATCGTTCAGAAGCAAGGTTAGTTAAATGTGTGCTCAAGCTCTGCCATTACCGGGTTACATCTCTGCCTCTTCCACTACCAGTCCTGCTGTTGATTATTTGTTTGAAGTTAAACACAAAGCTACACAATGGGCTATCTGTGCTCTGCCCACCCGTTATTGTTTAGAATGCATCAACCTACAGATATATATGAAAACATACAACACCTAAAAATATTTTCTCTCTTCTGAACAAATAGCGTATTAATGAAGTTTATAACATTAAATTCAAGTAATAATTGTATTTATGTTATTTTATTTCTATATACTAAGAAATAAATACCATGGTTTGTATTAAAAGTTTGTTTGTTGAATTTTGTGCAAAGATACTCCAGGACCATCTGCACTAGGTGTCTTATTATTTTTGTTTCTGAAAGACAAAATAATATTAAAGAGTTAAATTTTTCTGTCATAACTGGATGAAATTAAACATCACTGAAATACTGAGTTTCTTAATTAACACTATTAACAAACTGTTCCTCTTTAATTCCACTAGCAGTTATCTCTATTCTGTGTGTGCTTTTATTACATTAGATTAATAGAATTAGCACAATAAAAGTTATCTTGTTACCAAATGTTGAAGGAAACTCTGTGATGTATGACAATTATTATATAGAAGCTATGTTTTTAAATTTTTAGTCTTTCCTTTGTATCTGACATTATACATTATTGTGTAATTGAAAAGGTTTTTGTATAATTTTAGTCCATGGAATAATTCATAAAGCAGCCATAAAAATCAATCTTTAAATACTCATTTTGTGATTTTGGACTTAGCAAACTCATCTAATGAAAAACCATGTCATTACAGAACCTAGCCTTAAAAGTCCATGATGCACTGTTTAATACTTTATTATTTCATACAACAGTACATTTACATAATCACTTGGAAGGAAAGGCCACAATTTACACATGTTGGTTCAAAAGTTGGGCCTAAGTTTAATTCCTACACTAGGTATCACTTTTTTTTTTTAATAACCCTTTCTTTTTTGATTTTCAAATTACATACATAGTTACAATGAGTCACAGTGACTACGTTATTCAGTATATCAGTATACGTATACACAAACACTTGTAAATACACACATACTTTGACTTTAGATACTAATGTAAGGGAAAGGCTAGCTGAACTAGTGTTTTGAAACAATTAGCTATGAAGGTTGGAATACATACAGGATTTAGTAAACATCAACATCAAGAGGGTCTGGTTACTACAATAATAAACATTGAAATTCACAATACACGTGAATGGGAATTAACAAGAAATATCAGTTTTGCTGAAGTGCGTTAGTTTTCACATTATGCTATTATGATTGGGTTAAATCTGTATAGCATATTAACCTAAGACAAGCAGTAAACATACAGTGAATCAAATGAAATATTGTTTCCATAGATAAATGAGTATAAATACATTTCCAATCCAAATAATCACTGATACATTTACAACTATATATATATATATATATATATATATATATATATATATACTACACACACACACTACTAGTTAGTTAGTAACGTTAAACTAAACTCGTACACTAACTAACTTAAACTAACTTAA